CTCTAGACAAGCTCTACAAGAAACACTTAAGAAAGTACTAAACAGAGAAGAAAGAGAAAAAAGAATGACAACTTTCTTCACAAGAGTGAAGGAAAAAAATTGAAAACACACATGAATCAACCCCTAAATCCAAAGAAAGACAACAAACAGACAGGAACAACAACACCTCTATAAGAACCTCATGACAGGGATAAACTCTCACATTTCAATAATTAGCCTGAATGTGAATGAACTAAATGCACCACTGAAAAGATATAGAATGGCAAAATGGATAAAGTATCATGAGGCAACAATAAATTTTCTCCAAGAGACTCATCTCACCAAAAAGGACATTCACATACTCAAAGTAAGATGGGGAAGCAAAATTTCAGGTGTACAGAACACAAAAGAAAGCAGGAGTTGTAATCTTAATATCAGACAAAATACCCTTTAAGCAATAAAAAATTTATAAAGATACAGAAGATCACTATATAATGATAAAAGGTTCAATCCATCAACAAAAAATATCCATCCTAAACATAGATGCATCCAATATTGGAGCACCAACTTTCATAAAGCAACTTCTAGGCAAACTTAAAAAAGATATTGACTCTAACACTATCATAGCTGGGGACTTTAATACTCCACTCACATCCCTAGACAGATCATCAAGACAAAAAATCAGCAAGGAGATCTGGAACCTCAATGTAACTCTTGACCAACTGGATTTAGTTGATACCTCCAAAACACTACACCCAATGACCACAGAATATACATTCTACTCATCACCACATGGAATGTACTCTAAGATCAACCACATCCTTGACCATAAATCAAGCATAAGCAAATTTCATAAGATTGAAATTCTGCTATGCAACATCTCAGACCATAGTGTAATAAAAAATAAATACCAACAAAGTTCCCCCAAAACCCACAAAGACATGGACACTAAACAGCATGATGCTAAGCAACTCCTGGGTCAACATGGAAATCAAAACAGAGATTAAAAGATATTTGGAAACAAATGAAAATGAAGAAACATCTTACCAAAACCTCTGTGATACCATGAAAGCAGTAGTAAGAGGGGAATTCATATCTCTACAAACACACATGAAGAAAATGGGTCACAAATTAACGACCTAAGAAGTCACCTAAGGAATCTGGAAAAGCAAGACCACCAAAGCCCTAATTTCAGCAGAAGAATCCAGATTACTAAAATAAAAGCCCAAATCTGGGACATAGAAGATAAAAAGATAATATAAAAAAAATCACTGAAACAAAAAGTCGGTTCTTTGAAGGGATAAACAAGATTGATGATCCCCTAGCTCGACTGACCAAGAATAAGCCCAAATAAACTCAATCAGAAACCAAAAGATGAAGTCACAACTGACCCTGAAGAAATACAAAAGATTATCAGAGACTATTATGTACACTTGTATAAAAACAAACCTGAAAACCTAAAGGATATGGAGGACTTTCTGACAACATACAATCTCCCCAGATTGAAACAAGAAGAAATCAAGATCCTAAATAGACCAAAATCAATCCAGAAAATTGACTATATCATAAGAAAACTACCTACACAAAAAGCCCTGGAGCAGATGGCTTTCCAGCAGAATTCCACAAAACTTAAAGGAGGAACTGATATCAATGCTATTGAAAGTATTCCAGGTGACTGAGAAAGCTGGAACTCTCCCCAAATCATTTTATCAAGCTAACAGCACATTGAAACCCAAGCAAGGAAAAGACCCAACAAAGAATGAGAACTACAGGCCAATATCCTTGATGAACATAAATGCAAAAATTCTCAGCAAGATCCTAACAAACCAGATTTAACAACACATCTCAAAAATCATCCACCATGACCAAATAGGTTTCTGGGATGTGAGCCCTGGTTCAATATTCGTGAGACCATAAACGTAATTAAATACATCAACAGACATAAAAACAAAAATTACATGATTATATCATTAGATGCAAAAAAAGCTTTTGATACAATCCAGCACCTTTTCTTGATAAAAACCCTTGAACATCTAGGTATAGACAGAACATACCTCAAAATTGTAAGAGCCATCTACGAGAAATTCACAGCCAGCACACTGCTAAACATACAGAAATTGGAACCATTTCCCCTGAAAACTGGAACAAGACAAGGATGTCCACTTTCATCCTTCCTGTTCAACATACTTTTGGAAGTTCTATCTAGAGCAATCAGAGAAGAGAAAGCAATCAGGGGTATCCAAACAGGAAAAGAGAAACCAAGTTATCCCTCTTTGCAGATGACATTATTCTATACCTTGAAAACCCAGGAGAATCTGTCAAAAACCTCCTTGTACTAATAAAGGACATTGGCAAAGTCTCAGTGTATAAAATAAATGTGCAAAAGACAATCACATTTCTATAAATCGATAATAAACAAACAGAAAACCTAATAAAAAGCACAATTCATTCACAATAGACACACAAAAAAATGAAATACCTTGGCATCTTCCTAACCAGAGACGTCAACAACCTTTACAATGAAAACTAGAAAACACTACTCAAAGAAATCAAAGATGACACAAACAAGTGGAAAAATTTTCCATGCTCATGGATTGGAAGAATCAACAATGTTAAGATGTTCATTCTACCTAAGGCAATCTACAGATTTAACTCAATATCCATCAAATTACCAGCAATATTCTTCTCAGACCTAGAAGCAACAATACAGGAATTCATATGGAAACATAAATGACTGCGAATAGCCAAAACAATCCTGGGGGGAGGGGGATGCAGGAGGTATCACGTATCACACTCCCAGACTTTAAACTTTATTATAAAGCTACAATAATAAAAACAGTCTGGCATTGGTACAAGAATAGGCATACAGCTCCATGGAATAGAATTGAGGTTCCAGAAACAAAACCTCAATTTCTCAACCAACTCATCTTCGACAAAGCCTCCACTACCAACCACTGGGGAGAGAAGAATCTATTTCGTAAATGGTGCTGGGAAAACTGGCTGACCACATGCAGAAGATTGAAACAGAACCCTTACCTATCCACTCACACAAAAAATCAACTCTAAATGGATCAGAGACTTAAATGGAAAACATCAAACTATGAGATACTTAGAAAATGCAGGAAACACTCTTACGATAATTGGAACTGGCAACCAATTTCTGATCAAAACCCCAAGTGCCCATGCCATAAGAGATAGGTTAGACAAGTGGGACTTTATCATACTGACAAGCTTCTGCAAAGTCAAACAAACTATCAAGAGAGCAGGGAGACAGCCCACAGACTGGGAAAAAATATTTGCCAACTCTATGTCTGACAAAGGCCTAACATCTAAGATCTATAAGGAACTCAAACATGTTGAAAAGAAAAAAATAAACAGCTCCATAACACAGAGGGCAAAAGATATGAATAGACAGTACTCAAAAGAAGACATATGAGCAGCCAAAAGATACATGAAAAAATCTTCAGTCTCACTAGTCATCAAAGAAATGCAAATTAAAACTAAACTGAGATACCACCTAACTCTTATCAGAATGGCCATCATCAATAACTCCAAAAATGACAGACGCTGGAGAGGATGTGGTGAAAAGGGAATACTTCTACACTGTTGGTGAGAGTGTAAACTAGTACAGTCTCTGTGGAAAACAGTGTGGCGATTCCTAGAAGTTCTAAAAATTTACCTTCCATATGACCCTGCAATCCCCCACTGGGAATATACCCAGAAAAACGCAAATCACTCTATAAAAAAGATACCTGCACACATATGGTTATCGCAACATTGTTCACAATAGCAAGAACATGGAACCAACCATGCTGTCCATCAGAAGAGGACTGGATTAAAAAAAAGTGGTACCGCAGGGCTCAGTGGCTCAGCCTGTAATCCCGCGCCTTTGGGAGGCTGAGGTGAGTGGATTGCCTGAGCCCACAGGTTCGAGACCCACCTGGGCAGTGAGACCTCATCTCTACAATAAATCAAAAAATCAGCCAGGTGTGGTAGCACATGCCTGTAATTCCGGCTACTTGGAAGGCTGAGGAAGGATCACCGGAGCCCAGCAGGTGGAGGCTGCGGTGGCCGGGAGTGGCCACTGCACTCCAGTCTGGGCGACCGAGTGAGACTCCAACTCAAAAAAAAAAAAAAAAAAGTGGTACAAGGGAATATTACGCAGCCATAAAAAAGAACAAAATCATGAACTTCGCAGCAACCTGGATGGATTAGAGTCTATAATACTGAGTGATCTTTCACAGAAACAAAGAACTGAGTATCACATGTTCTCACTCATAAGCAGACCTTGAACAATTATCGTAATACCATAAGAAAAGGAATGTCAGTAGCAGGAAACTGCGGGCGTATTGGCGGTGGGGAGGGGGGGCAGGGAGGTGGGATTGAAAGTAGTGGGAATCTGCCTGAGGAAGGGGTTGCACACCTC